GAGGGGCGGCGACAGCGGCGTCACCCGGGGCACAGGTGACACCTGGGGACATCGGGGTGCCACCCACGGGGACAGGTGATACATAGATACAGGTGGCACCTGGGGACAGGTGATATGTGGGGACAGGAGACACCTGGGGACATCGGGGTGCCACCCACGGGGACAGGTGATACATAGATACAGGTGACACCAGGGGACGCTGACACCTGGGGTCACCCGGGGGACAGGTGACACCTGGGGACAGGCGACACCTGGGGATGGGTGACACGTGGGCACAGGTGACACCTGGGGACAGGTGACACATGGGGACACTGAGGTGTCACCCACGGGGACAGGTGACACCTGGGGACAGGTGACACTTGGAGACATCGAGGTGTCACCCATGGGGACAGGTGACACCTGGGGACACTGAGGTGTCACCCACGGGGACATGGGGGTGTCACCCACAGAGACACGGCACCCATGGGGACAGGTGACACCTGGGGACAGGTGACACATGGGGGACATCAAGGTGTCACAAGTGGGGACACATCAAATGCGGGGAGAGGTCACCCACAGGGACACCCGAGTGTCACCCACAGGGACACCCGAGTGTCACCCATTGGGGACAGGTCACCCACTGGGGACACCCCAGGCCGTGGGGACGTGGCCCCCCCGATGTCCCCCTAATGTCTCTGCTGCTGTGCCTCCATTTTTCCTCCCCGCTGTCCCTCTGTGTCCCCCGGTGTCCCCTCATGTCCCCATTGTCCCTGGTGTCCCCATTGTCCCCCGGTGTCCCCGGTGTCCCCGTGTCCCCTGCTGTCCCCTCATGTCCCCATTGTCCCCCATTGTCCCCGTGTCACCTGTTTGCTGCTCTGGGTGTTGATGAAGGTCAGGTCCCCCATGGTCATGTCCCTCCCGTGTCCCCATTGTCCCCCCGTGTCCCCACTGTCCCTGGTGTCCCCATTGTCCCCCGGTGTCCCCCGGTGTCCCCATTGTCCCCGTGTCACCTGTTTGCTGCTCTGGGTGTTGATGAAGGTCAGGTCTTCCATGGTCAGGATGATTTTGTTGGGGCCCTTCATGAGCTGAGCCTGCTGGATACGGCGCCTGCGGGGACACAGAGGGGACATTGGGGACA